AATCCCAGTTCCGAAACTTTGGACATTCCTTGACACAATTTTAGATAACACAAATGCAGGAGACTGGTAGCCTTGGACGTGTTGTCTGATAAGTTTCTGCCGCTAGCAGGAAAAATCGCATCGGCGTTATTGAATCTGAAAGGCTGTCGTCTCAACAGCCACTTCTATTATGACTGGAATTATTTCTGTCCTTTTAGTTTTTCGTTGCTGGAGTTAAATGTGTAACTTCGGATTTCGGGGCTGAGCCGCGTCGAATGTTGAGAATTTTACCATCGTTTCGACAAAATATACAACTGCAACATTCACCCTGACGATGGCAACAGCATTTTGTACCGGAATGCAAATGACAGCTTCACAAAGACAGGAACTCTAGAAGTGGGGGCACGTTGTTGCTCGGTTTTGATGGTATTTTTAAGAGAATTTGTAAGCGTCGATGGTATTTCGGAGCATGCAGTGTTGATTTATTTTAATTGCAAAAACTGTGTAGTCTAATCTAAGTTTACCGACGTTTTATAGAGGCCCTAGCTGTTTCCAGCATCAGGCGAAAGGATTTTTGAAACGTTGGTAAACTTCTACCACACTAGATGGCGCAGGAACCCAGAAGACAGCATCGATCTTCAAACCCTTATTATCGATTGCTGCATGTTGTCTATCGACTTCGATAAATGTGTCTGATGGAGACTAGTAACTACAATGGAAGAAATCTGTGAAATTCTTTCTGGAACAGTTGAAATAGCCGGAATATTTGTCGCGATCCAGAGCTAGTCGAGTCAAGTTTACTAAATCAGAAATTAACGTCCGGTTTGTTTCGTAAGCGCTGTGCACCTCCCTCAACAGTTGTAGCCATTAGGTTTGTTCTACAAGATTAAAAATAGCGTTCTCTTGTAAGTGGTTCTGATTGTATTTGAACGTTACGTAATGTTTGGCAATCATCCAATAACAAGAATGTTAGTAACTTGAAGTTACGATCAAAATTATTACTGTCATTTAAAGTAAGTTAATCAGAAGTGACTGCCAAACGCTCAGATTAAAGTTATTTGACTTTGCAGTGTAAATATTATGAAATGCCACAAATTTACTGAGAAAATATGAAACGTTCTAACTTCCACATAAAGTGTTCTGTGCAAAATTCTTCGAATTTTGTTGTGCAAGTATCCAACTCGAATCTCGTTCTGGTTGCAGTTAACACGTTTTCTAGACTTTTTGCAGTTTCTCCGACAGAATGCCGTGATATAAAATCCGTAACCACTCACCACCATTTTCCCGTCTCATTCAGCATTTAAATAAAACCTGCAGTTGAAGCTCATTTAAATAAACTAAGATTCAACCCTTTGTCACCGCCTTGATTGAATATTAACTTCGCGTGAACACATTATTTTCATTTTTCATGATCTTTCCTCTTCTGAATTGAGAATTGTTTAACGGGCAGAGGCCAGAAAATTCACTGTATTAAGACCTTCAAGATCCCATTTAATATTGCTTCCCAATTTACGCTTAGACCTCCCGAGTCGCGTTCTCGACAAAAACTTTGCATGCATTTCTAATGCGTTCTACATGCCCTGGCAATCTCATTCCCTTGTATTTAATGTCGTTACAAATATTTAGTGAAGAGTAAAGATTATGAAGATTTATTTTTAATTTTATTTTTGATGTTATATTCCAGATTCTTAGAAGGTCCAAATATTCTCTTGAGCACTCTGTACTCATGAATCTGCCCAGAAATTCTTTCCGTAAGATGAGAGACCAAATTTCCCATAACGAAATGTTGACCTCGTAATATGTATTAATGATAAAACTTCTCTGTGCTACGTGATATGACGCTGTCGATGTTTCATAACATTGCAAGTCATTCAGAGTTTTTGCAGACCGTGGAAACTCCTTAATATGTTTTAAGTATCTCCTCAAATGGTATATAGAGTAAATTTGTTGTCTACTGCATTGCCTCCAAACTCTTCGTTCACGATAATCACGAATTATTCAATTTACGTTGTACGATATTTGCAGTTGACGCAGCATCGTTAAACAAAGAAACTTATCCAGACGAAGTTCATCGGGGCCGTGAGCGACGACGTTTTATTATTAGCAGGTTCTATTTCATGTGTTTTTCCTTGGGCGCATGTTGAATGATTTACGTCATTCGCCTTTGACGACAGAGAAGCCATTTCTGGCAAGACGAATCCTCTCAGTTCACTTACTTTAAAGAAACATTCCTAATTAATATTGACGTAACAGCGTGGCATGTGTGATCTCGTTATGATCGTTTTGAAGTTCAAGATGGAAAATGTCACTAAAAGAGGGGAAAACGGAAAATAAAAGTGTCTTACTTTCGTGGTTCAATGGTACTCCACACACTTGAACACAGTAAAACTGATCAGATAAAAATTCGTCGTTAGCAATCACAATCCAGCACATCACAGGCGTTGTTAGCAAGCTCGTTTGGGTTTACGCATATGTAAATTATCCAAATATGACTTTAATTACTTAAGCTTTGTTTTACGCCATATGTATATGCCCATCTGTTCACCTACAGCAGCTTGAGAACCATTTAACTGAGAGGTGATCATGAGATTTGAGTTTTTTTACTAAAATTTGTAAACGTATTCCAGTTCTTGTTAATATCGGAGAGCAATAACAGGTATCACATGATATCATGTGACGAGTCTGTTTCATAGTAATTTTTTCACTTTGTGTAAAATAACCAATGTGTTGAAAATAACTTTAAAGTTTTTAAGAATATATTTTTTTCCATCCATAACCATGAGAGGTCAGAACCTTAATTCCAGAAAGAATATCATATATTACTTCATGAATTTCATGACTTGCATTTAGATTTGTTGACATTTCCACTAGCCATGTCATTGGTTGCTAACAGCGCCATGTCTTGACCATGGACAGTCTGATTTCCGACTCTGAACGGAAGGAAATGATAGTTTTAGACTAGGATTGTGGTGGTGTTCTTTTTGTTGCCTGTTCTAGAGTTGGCTTTCATCTGCCCACACACATGTTCTCTGTGTGTGGCCATGTGCATGAGACATGGAGACAGTGCTGAGGGTGAGTTCAACCCCAGTTCTGTACCTTACCAATCCCTGCCATGATAATTCTGTGCTCCAAAATCAGTTAATTTGTAGCAAATGCATTTCTGCCTAGATTTGACAAAGGTGTAAATTTTCCGCTGTTATCAGGCTAACCTTTATGACCTTTCTTATCTTCTTCCGAGTTTGAGGAAAATACTTTAAGTTCACATAAATATGTCGTATGCTGTATGGGAAGAGGAAGACTATGAATTATGGAATGTGGACCCAGATATCAACATTTCTATGTTCCAGAAAGCTATTATACAAGGTTTTGTTTATGCGGGGTAGCAGTCTTTTACAAGTGCACCAATTTCTTTTGTTAAGTGTCTGACTGTGGAATAGATAACCAAGATTTCACTCGCAACTGGGGCAGGGTTTTTTCTTTTGCCGTTACATCTACACCGGCTCTGGCATACGTGGTCTCTGTCAGATTGTAGTCGGACATCATTCCTAGGGTGTAAAGTGCCCAACACAGACCAATGGGAATGGTTGGAGTAACCTGATGTCCATCCAACCAGATATAGGGTGATGTGTGGTCAGCTCAGCGAACCCCCAGCCATTGCTAGCTTTCCTGACCGGATTACGCCAGCCATTGTAGCTCCCCAATTTCCTCACGATGCTGGGTTGGCACCGGTCCCATACACTGGTCGAAAGCTGATGAGAAAATTTCTTCTCCCCCGAGACTTGAACCAGCGCGCTTTCCATATCACCGGTCCGAAGCATGATGCCTCAGACCGCGCGGCTACGGCGCGGGACTTACGAGGATAATACGTCCTGTATAATTCTGCTTTCATATTAAAGTCCAAGCATGACATAATTTATAAGCACTTTGTGTACCGTAGAAGGTTGGTGTAGTGGTAGCATTGTAGATGTGTATTTAGGATGATCCAGTGTGAATGTTGGCAGTGCGTTACTATCCAGACCATAGCATTCACCACTGTTATTCACTATTTTACCCATCTCAGTCAATCCTGTATAACATTTGAAGTAGAAATATTGTTATTAAATAACCTAAGAATTAAGCATTAGTGTGGTAACTTACGTGAATAATTTTGAAGTATGTAATCCACAGATAAACTGGGAGAATCAGTCGCAAACGTAGGAACATACACCAAGTCGCCAAGTTTTCTTACTTGTCTTTTATATTTTGTACAATTTCTGTTACGCTTCGTTGATGTATCATTTTTTTTGGCAGTGATAACACAAAACTTTCATTGCTGTATGATGATGCAACATTTTTGCTTAAAGTGGATTGCTGCTAAAACTTTCTTCTGTAGATGACTTATGTGAATGAATGTGTCTGCTGCATGGAGGTAACACTATGAAACGGCAGAAAACTATTGTGTCAGTGTTAATACACTGGATTATCCTCTTGCTACAAGCCCCAGACTTTCGGCAATAAACCACCGTTTACATACTGATGCTAGTTGAACATTGAAAGTCGTCATTGCCAGCAACTGTAGTGAAATGTAGATGTGACTGATGGAGGAAACGAGGAATGACCGCAGAATTGTGGCAGAGGAACGTCTTAAAATGTCCAGTTGCAAGGCCCAGAAGGAGGCATATGGCTATCCTGAATTGAATTATTGAATAGAATTGAATCAATAAGCACTAAAGTAAACTTTGTAGCCACAGTGGTATTATTATTATTTTCACAAATAAAGCTTCAATCTAAAAATCTGATTAAATTTTACATGTCTGGCTGTAATTGTTACAGTGTAATATTTTAACAGAATTGATGCACCAGCGAACTGAAAGCTTCCAAAAAACAGATCTGTATATTTACCTTGGCAAATTTTGTTTTTAATATTCTTATGAGTTCATCTTTCTTTGTTGCCAAACATGGGAACTTCCAATGGCTGTCATGAGGTGCCATTTTTTAATAATTATGCACATGAATCTTAAAAATACTTTTATCTTCCACAGCATTCAGATTTCAAGAAAATCTGCTGAAAACCATGCTTCAGATTGAAAACACATTTTTTGCTCTTGGAGAATCGTGCTCTCGAGACTGTCTTATCATCTGTGATAGAGGTGCCATGGATGCATCTGCATGTATGTATTTATTATTGTTGAATAGTAGGCGTTGTATATGGATGTAAATTTATCATGTAATAGTTAACTGCAATTCCATTTTGAAGTACGAATACCAAAGGTTTTACATTATCAGGTGTGCGCGCGCGCTAGAGTACAGAAATACAAGGTAATCCATAAGTCATGCACTTTATTTAACTGTGCGTATTAGTGAGAATTTTTACACATATAGAGTTTTTGAATTTCAGTTGATATGACCTTTTGCAGTCATTTCTCGTGAAAAATGGGAACAAATGATGGTGACTAACCGCTGGAATTCGGTGGAACTGAGGGATAACCGCTACAACCAGATCATCCACATGGTGTCTGCTGCGAATGGAGCTGAAGATTTCTATACTACAGAGGTACACATATGGATAGAAGTATAAATTATTGAAAAATTTAGGAAATGTGTGCATGACGTAACACTTCTGGCGCATTTACCAGAATTTGACCTTGTTTGCCGCAATTTCGTCCTTGACCACTGCACCAGACACATCAGAGTTGTTAGGTGGCAGGGGGTTCCCCAGATAACCATGGTAACCAAGGTAGCCTGGATATTCTGTTCCGACTCACTTCTGTGCACAGAGAAACATGTTGGCCTTCCTGTAAAGTGTTTGTTATTGTTTAATGTTAACCACAGTTGGGATGTGTTGACTAATTTTAGTAAAACTCTCCCATTGTCAAACCTCATGAAAATCCATTCACCCGTTCTCAAATTGTTAAATATTGGCAGAGACGGAGCAATTAATAGGCACATTTTTGCAGTTTATATTTGTTAACATGCCTGAAAGGTAGTGCTTAAATCTTGGATTACTTTGAAGTTCAGGTAGACAACACATATTCAGGAGCTTCATAATTGGTAGTGCATTATGTATTAGGATGGTGAATTCAAGATATGTGTGTTAGGCAGCACATGTAGCACACATGGGGCAAAAGAAGTGTATGCAAAATTTTATCCATAAAACCTAAAGGGACGAGACATCTTGGGAAGCCATAGCCGCAGATGGGA